CTCCCACCGCTGCCGTGCCCGCATCCCGCATCCCTGTGCCCCGGCTGGACAAGCGGCTGGAGTGCATAGCCCCTGCTCCCAGTGCCTTCCACCACCCGCCGGAGCACATCCTGGCCCATGCCCGCTCTGTGCAGATCCAGGGGCACATGCCCTCCTGGACCAGTGGTGTGCAGTGGCAGGAGCCCACTCCACAAGTCCTGCACACACCCCCCAACGTTGGGCAACTTGTCCCAGCCTCAGCCCCAGCCCCAGTCCCAATCCCTCCCTCACTGTGGGGGCGTTGATCCTACTCCCACATACCCCTTCCCTCCCCCCCTCCACCCACCACAACAGACTTACCAGCTGGAGGTAGCTGTGTCCAATGTGCTTGAGGACTACTGCCTGTTTAGTGTATGGCCAAATCTCCAAATCAGTGCCAGATCTTCAAATCCAATTCAGCCAAATCGAATTGGGACAGTGACTCAAATCACCAAATTGAATCACTGTCCTCCAAATCAGCTGAATCTGAATCCAGATTGAATATTTGCTGCTTCACACAGGCCTAATGCACTCTTATCCGCTCATTGCTATGAGAAAAGGCTGATGAAATTGGGCTAATTTTAGGAAGGAGATGACTAAGGAGAGAATTCAAGTCTTCAGTACAGAAAAGGTTGTATTAAAGAGTCATGGAGAACAGCCACCAAGCAGGCAAGGAAAATCAGCTCAACATGCAGCGAAGATGCCATGGGTTAAATGTGGGACTTCGTTAGGCAGGTGAGGCACTAAAAGAAGCTGACTGTCTATGGAGCCATGGAACCTCCTTTGTTGGAGGTTTGCAAGAACAGGTTAGATGGCCATTTCTCAGGGGACGGTCTGGGTAAGTTTTGATTGTGCCTCTGGGAAGACGCATAGACTAGGTGACCCCCTGAGCTCTCATCCAGCCCTATGCATGTATGGTTAGTGTGATAGAGCCTGGACGGGAAGTGACCTAGAAATGACAGCAGGTTTGTTAGTCTCATTCTGTTGCCCAGGCTGGTTTATGTGCTAGAAATAAATTGCATTAGGATGGCACACAATGTGTATGCTCTTAAAGGTATCTAGTCACAGCCAGAAACTTGGTCTCCCTAGCCCACCTTGTGTATACTAGACTCTGAATGGGTGAGGCAACTGATAATGTGTCTTAGCCACATGCTGACACCCTTTGCTTGTTAAGCTAGCAAAAGCTTGAACACGGACCTTTGGATGTGAGCTGTGTCCTCCTGGATATTTTTAGTCTGTGCTCTCTGGGATGCTGCAACAAATCCCACTTAATGCTCAAGTGTATTTCAAAACATGCCATCTGTTTGGCTGGGAGCTGCTGAGCCTCTGATGGGATAAATGGGGTCAAAGTTGCCCCAAGGTCTTTGAACCTGTATCAAAAAGCATGGACTCGTACATGTGCAGGGGCAGTCTTACTCCCAGACTGAAAATGCATGTTGCTGTTGGTTTTCACACCTTACTTTTTCCTTCTCTGACTTCACTGCCCCTTCCTCAGCCTCTTCTGGTTCTCTCATCTTATTCTGGGTTCCTGCTCACCCTGTTTCCCTTCCCACAGAGCCACATCTCTGAGGCCTGACGAGGCACAGTCTCCTGTTCTGCCCAGGAGATCTTGGCCAGTCAGGCCCATAGCAGCAATCTGGGCACTGCTCTCCCTATTTCATGACAGCTGGAGGGATTGTGAGACTGTCTGGTAAATGCGGGAAGTCTGGATGTGGGGTTCGTTGGTCATAGGTGCCAGAGGTAGGTACACCTGCTACTATCCTCATCTAAGGTTTTACTTCCCCTCATTTCTTTCCACAGATGCTGCAGCCCCAGTTCAAGTCCCATAACACTAATGAAGTCCTGAGCAAGCTCTTCCAGATTGTGCCTGGTGAAAACCCATACAGCTACCGGGACCCCCAGAAGTGTCGGCGCTGTGCTGTTGTGGGCAATTCCGGCAACCTGCGCGGCTCTGGTTACGGGCGAGAGATTGATGGGCATGACTTCATCATGAGGCAAGTAGCTGGTGCTCTAAAGCTGTCTGTAGCAGAGTGGGGAAGGGAGCCACTGGCACAGTTCATTCAGGTCAGTGAGCTGAGTCGGGAGGTGCCACACCCCAGCCTCAGCACTGGGCTGGCTGTCACTTCAGATAATGCCTGAGCAGAGGAGGCGGACTCGACCCTCTTCCTCTCAAGCTGCTGGTTCATCTAGCTAGCGCTCACTCCCCTCCTCCATGCATTTTAAAGCAAGTTTCTATCCTCCAGGCAGAGGGCTAGTTTTTCCCCTCCCCCACCCATCTTTCCAGTTTATGCCTGGCCTGGCTCTGGCTGGTTGAGCTCTCTTTCCACCTCTGCTGCTTTCCTTGTCAATCAGCTCTTTGTCTTCTCATTAATTTAAGCTTCCCTTAGGCTCGGGGGGGGGGGGGGGGGGGGAAAAACCGTATG